TTTTTTTTTTTTTTTTTTTTTTTTTTTTTTTTTTTTTTTTTTTTTTTTTTTTTTTTTTTTTTTTTTTTTTTTTTTTTTTTTTTTTTTTTTTTTTTTTTATGCACTACGTTTTTTATGAAGATGACCACCTTATAACTCCAAGTAAAAACACCACACAATAAAGTGCAGTGGTTGTCAATAGCTACCACCCTTCACAATATTTTCTGTCCATGACGCTCTTTTCACAGTCGATCCAAAAGGAAACGAACCATGTGCTAGCTATCGCTCTAGATCATTGTGTGAAGGCAGCTCTTTTTGACAAAAATATATTTGTTCCAAGGTATGCAAGAACACGCCATCAATTAAAGACAATCAACATCTCACCCGCTTTCAGAAGAGTCAGAACTTCATTTATGACTTAGTGGTGAAATATATGCAAAAATGCAAGGCATGCCTAATGCAAATAATACCCTATATGCATACACGCAATGCAAATCTAATATATATACTAATATACAATACAATATAATATAATGGCATGCAAGCAATCAGAGAATGCATATCCCTAAGGATTTCCTTAGAGAGATAAATCTTTGAGCATCAAGGTTATGTGCTGGAACATATTTATGAACAATTAATCCATCATCAACCAAATTTCTAGTAAAGTGGCATAGCATGCTAGTACGATTAAGAGAATGTTGAACAGAATATTTGGAAACATTAGCCGCATAAGTAAGGTCAAAGAAAAGGTCAATGGCTTGTACCTCAGTTCCAAATTTAAGAAAAATGTGCTTCATCCACACCTTTTCTGAACAACAAGTTTCAGCCACAAAATTCTGATCGGTGTAAGAACATCCGTCAGACGTACTACATTGATCAGCAACATTCTCATCCCTATCAGCATCACGATCTCTAATAATACCAGAACTCGTATTACATGAGTCAAAAGTCATATAATCAATCAAGTAGCAATTATCATGCGATCTAGACCCTGTAAGAACACAGTTATTATTCCTATCTGAAACCATACATTCATTCAAGGTGAAACTCACAGAAAATCCTTGATCACATAATTGACTCACACTCAGCAAATTCACTTTCAAATTTTCAACAAGAAGAACATTTTGAATTTTGGGCAATCCAGGAACATTCAAACATCCTATACCGAGAACTCTATTCTTAACACCATCACCAAAGGTCACAGAACTAGAAGGACCAGGCAAAATATTAATCAAGTTAGATTTTAGACCTGTCATATGACGAGAACAACCACTGTCAAAATACCAATCAGAATTAGAGGTGGATTTCAATGCAAGTACAGAAGATAAACACACGTTCTTACTGCCTTTAGGAACCCAAATCTTTTTCTGTTCATGATTAACCACATCAACCTTTAGTTTAGGTGCTTTCAAGGGTACACCATGTGGACTCCATTCATCAATTCGACTAGTATAAATATCATTATGCATCCTATAACACTTAGGGCGAATATGACCACGAATACCACAATAGTGACAAACAGGCACAAAGTTCTTACCAGAGTTCTTATGCTGAGTTTTGGTAGAATTAGGCTTACCATTCTTACCTTCAAGGCCGTAGCCTTCTTTGACAAAAGTCAGGTCAGACTTACTCAGAGATGTGCTCGGCTCGCCAACTTTACCTTTCAGTTTCTGATTAGGAGCGTTCTTACTCTGGTCTGAGGTACCAATTTGTTGACTCGGCCTCTGAACTTCAGCAAATGAGGACTTGGGCTTGTTGATCATCTTGACAATCTCCTCACTCTTACTGAGTTTCTCTTTCATTGCAGAACAATAACTCTTGAGCGTTACATGTTCTTCCATCACTCGACCGAGTTCTCTTTTGAGTGCAACAATCTCGGTTTCCCTTTCATCTATAGTTTTCTGCAAGACAAACATTACGTAGAGACTCAATGATAAAAACCTTTTCATCACATACCTGCTTGGACAACTTCTGTTCATGTTCTAACATCGTGATTTTGGAAACAAATTCGTCCAGCTTATGTTCCTCTTTGCTGGTATGAACATCAGATCTGGTCAGCTTATTCAGTTCGCCATTCATCTTGCGAGTTTTCTGAAGTTCATCCTTCAAGTAGGTGATCTCCTTCTCATGCTCAGCAGAACGATGTTGGAACACCTCGACTTGAGCTTGTAGCTTTTTCACCATTTTTCCAGCTTTGATGCTCGTCTCTAATGCAAGCTTATGGGTAGCCAAATCTACTTCAACAGAACCATCTCCAGAATCATCAGAATCACTATGAGAATTATACGTGTAAGAACACATACCTGAATCGGCATCACAAGGCTTATGAGAGGCTGTATAACACCTGAAGTTATTGAGAGAAGTGACAGCAAATTTGTTCGTGTGTTGCTGGTCATCATCGTCTTCATCATCATCTCACGTGGCTCGATAGGTTTTGTTCTTTCTCGTGAAATTCGGACAGTCTTTCTGGAAGTGTCCAAATCCCTTGCATTCACGGCATTGGTTCTTCTCTACATCTTGATTCTGAGTCCTCTGAGAATGTGAGTTGGAACGTCGTTCACCAGACTGCTGATTGATGTTCTTACTGAAGTCAGTAGGCTTCTTCCCTTGGGACTCCTTTTTCTTCTTTAACTGAGAGAAGTGGCGTGTAAGAACATCCAAAGCCTTAGCAATACTTTCAGCATCAAGAGACTCATCATCAGAATCCTCTTCCTCTTCAGCCTGTGTTGGAACATTGGCTTTCAGGGCTAAGCCTTTGCTTATTCCCATCTTATCATAACCACGATTGATTTCAAAGGTTCGAAGTTCTCCAAGTAAGTCATCGAGACCAAGAGGCTCGACTCGCTGAAAGCTCTCAAGTGCGGTGATCTTTTCACGGAATCGTTTGGCAAGGGTCCTCATGATCTTTTGCACTTGCCTCGCCTCAGAAATTTCCTCACCAAGCATGGCACTTTGGTTAACGAGATCACAAAAACGTGCATAGTACCTATCAATATTTTTATCAACCTTCATGCGAATAGTGTCAAACTCCGTGGTAATCATTTGGAGCTTGGAAGACTTCACGGCGTTGGTACCCTCAATTTGCCTCTCAAGAATCTTTCATGCGTCACGAGCTGTGGTGCACTGAATAATCATCTTATGGCGAGTTGGATCCACAGCAGCCATGATAGCATATAATGCACGAAAGTTTGCTTCTTCTGCTTGTCTTTCAACTTCAGTCCAAAGATCCCTTGGTTTCTCGACTAGAACATGAGCAGTCGAGGTTGATAACTTTGATTCTAAGGGAGCTTTCGGCATGAGTGGTGTGGTCCAGCCTGACTCAGTGACTTGCCAGGTTCCTTTACCCAAAGAGCGAATAAATATCACCATCATGGATTTCCAGTATCCATAGTTAGAACCGTCAAGGTACGGAGGGCGCGAAACGGACATGCCTTCGTGAATCATGGTGACCAACCCAAGGACCCAAAGATCTTTATCTTGTAAGTAGAACAGGAACACCTCTCTGATACTAATTGAAACGTAGGTATTTTGTAACGAGTGCGCTCAACGTTGTTAGAACACAAATAAACAACTAGAATAGCGGAAGCAATAAACCGAAGATTTAAAAACTCTTCAGGGAAGCGTCCCACTTCCCCTCAGAGCTCTTTCATTGATAAACCGTTTGTGCACACTTGTATAGTTTGGACTTACACGACTCGAACTCCCTTCTAGCCTAGCCACAACTACACACGATTCTATCAACTACTTCTCCGACCACGCCCCGTGGATTTTACCTCTCGAATCCCTCGAGCTAAAGATAGTACTTAATCCCTAAGCACTGATCACACAAGTGTTTGAATGAAAAACAAAAGAATCAAAAGAAAAGACTTCAGTTCTTCGATGACGTAAGAACACCGAAAACTGAACAACGAAAATAAAACACAAAAAGCTTGCAGCTCGAATATGGAATAGAAAATAATACTCTCAGCTCTCCAAATTCGATCTTCAAGCAGGTATATATATACAATCTCCTTAGGGTGGAGTGTTCTCCAAGTACAAGACTCCTTTTTGATTTCCTTCCAAGTTTAGGACTCTTCTTTCTCTCACTTCAAACAATCCTTCTTTAATCCAATTTCCTTCCATGTAAATCATAAGAGATATGGTAGGTGTAGATCTCTATCTTCTCTTTCCAAAGATCTTTCCTTCTTATATGATTTCCTACAAAATATATCCATAATAAGATTATGCAAATCTAATATATATGTATATAAATCGAATATATAAATATAAATATAAATAAATTCGAATATATAAATATAAATATAAATAAAAGAACTTCCCTTTTTATTTTTCATGCTTGCAAAAATATATCTTCACTTATATTAATTTTTGAACTTCATTGCCAAAAATATAACTCTTTCAGGTTTGACTGGCTGGAAGTACTGAAAATAATGGAAAAAGATAAGTTTAGGTGGATAATTCTGGTGCCAACAACAAAAAACGATAAATAAATTCCTAAGGGAAAATCCCCATATTCCAAATATTTGGAAAATACTTGCCAAGAAAACATATTTGGAATTTCCATAATTATTTTCTTAAAAAAATCATTTATTACATGACAAAAAATTTACAACCTTTACGAAGGTTTTTTCTTTCAATTTAAATAATTGTTTCAGATATGAGCTCATACATTAACACCATACACACAACACTACTATCTAAAACACAAAGACTATTAACCCTCGCTTTTAGTGAATCAAAGTAGTAGCTATTGAATGCACGTGCCACGTGCCTGTTTATATCTAATGGGATAAGAGTACGCGGTAATTAATAGAAGTCTGGTTCATTAACGACGATCAATATAAAACGAACTTCTTTTTTTTTTTTTAGGATCCGT